GATAAATTTTTTGTACTTTTTTGAACAGCGAATATAATTAAAAATACATGACGCCGGTTTATTTAACCGGTTAATGACTTTTGCTGCGCATAATATGAATTTTTCTATGTATTTAGTACAAAATTTCACAGCGAAAAAAATTTTTAAAATTTACATTATATTATTCAAAGTTAATGAGTTTCGATAGAATAATGATTTGAAAATAATTTGGAACAGCAACTTTGAAACAGAAACATATATTCAATAATATAAAGAAAGGCAAACTTTTCATCATAATAATAATAATAAATTTTCTTTTCATAAATTACTGATATAATTAATAATTACTTCAATAAAATTCAATACATTATATTTTCTAACATCTCTAATAAAATAGAAATACCTGTTGTTCCTGAAGTATACATAATGTACAAAGGCGCGTTTGCCTCAACTGGTTCACATGGATGAGGTTTTGATCTTTTTATCACTTCATCCCAATCGAATTGATCTTCCAAAAGAGGACTCTCCCAGATATTTCTTCTCTGAAATATGATGCATTGTGGTTTCTTTACAGATATGAGGTTCATAGCGTCATTTAACATATCCGTATATCTGTATTTAGAGTAAAGTATGTATTGTCAATTATGAATTTTTATAATATGCAAATATAATATGCAAATCTAAAAAAAAAAAAATAAAAAAAAAAAATAAAAAATTATACCGAACAATCTTGGAGGGTTCTATACCACAGCTAGCTGCAATTATTACTTTTGGTTTTGCATGATTTATTCTGATAGCCAATTCGTTCGCGGCAAATCCTAAAATAAATATAATATAAAAATTTTTTCAATTCTATATAATTTTAAATAAATATTATTTTTAATTTTTAATATACATTAATAATTTCTAAAAACAAATTTCTAAAAATAGTATAAATTAATATATTCTTCTCCTAAAAATAAAGTAATATATAATTTGAGAAATCTAGAATTTAGATTTTTACCGCCAAATACAACAGAATGGACCGCGCCAAGTCGTGTAGTAGCTAAAATTGCTATTATGGTTTCAGGAATTAGTGGCATATAAATAATCACCACGTCGCCTTTGCCCACACCCATATTAACTAGCACTCCAGCTAATAAAGATATCTTTTTTAAAAGTTCATTATAAGTTATTTTTTGAACTGTTGATGTTTGAGGACTGTCATGAATTAATGCTACTTTATTTCCGTTTCCGGCTAAAATGTGTCGATCTACTGCATTGTAACAGGCATTCAATTCTCCGCCAATAAACCTATAGAAGAAAAAATTTTTAAAAATTTTAAAAAATATAAATTAAAGGTCGATATATTAGAATGTTTTAATTATTTTACAAACAAATTATTACCATTTCGTAAATGGTTGTTTAGTATTATCCAATACTTTTTTCCATGGTTTACTCCAATCTATGCACTGTGCAACATTTCCCCAAAATTTTTCTGGATTCTCCAAAGATTCTTTATAACTTTCATCATATTTTGGACAAGAAATGTGATGGCGATTGATTATATAATCTATATATAAAATAATCTATATATAAAAAGAGATCATTATATTCGAAAAATATTAATGAATTCTAATATATATATATATATATATATATATACATCTTTATACCTATGATAATTAGAATAGAAAAAGTGAGCCATCTATCGTCATTTCAAAAAATTATTAATATGGTATATAATCCTAGCGTATATACTTTTATTTTTATATATTATAAATAAATATTAATAATTAAGATAAAAATAATTAGAAAAATTATTTTCAAATAATAAAAAGATTAATAAATAAATATTTCTTTTAATAAAAAATTTACTTGCAAGTAATTTAGAAATAAAGATATCGTTTCCTGTCAAATTTAGTAATCAAGTAACTAGTAAATATCATAGAGGGAGAGAAGATCGTTTAAACTTGTTTGAATTAACTGATTATCGACTTACAGGAAATTTAATTTCTCGTTAAAATTAAATTTAAAATTTATTAGAAAATGTTTCTTATGGTAAATATTATTTATAGAAAAATTACAAATTCTGCAATTTTAGAAAATTAAATCTTGGTTTGTAACTATTGGTATGTAACTCTCATCTTTCTTAAACTTAATCACATTAGTAATCTGCGTTATGTGGTCGTATATCATGAATATTTAAATGATGGGATCGCTTTCTTACTGATATTCTTCATTAATGAATAATTTATTGCGAGTCGTTTTAGGTTCATAGCAATTTTTTATGCTTTTCACGTTTATGTAAACATCATGGATTACGAATATCGTATGAAAACAATTTGAATACATTGGTATAAAATACTCACGATCGTCGATTATATATAAAAATTTATTCAAAATGATATTTTTAACAACACATTTTCAAATTTATCGAAATTGATAAATTAATCGATACGTTCATCTAATTTTCGTTACCTATCTAATTATCTATTTATCTATCTCATTCTAGCATTTGATTATACATGAACATTTAGTAGCTGCGAATGCATGTAGAAAATAGCAGCTGCGTTAGATAATTTCATTAAAATAACGAGTATTATCCATGGATTTAACAATGAAATTTCGATATTCACGGAACGGAAATTCTTACACCTTGCCTCGACATTAATCGTGCTAGAGAGTGAAAATGTTCCAACATCCAGAAATCTAATTACTTATAAAACGTGTCGCAAATATACGCTGTTGGTTATTAGAAAAAACACCTGAGTTCAGTGGAGAAAATTAGTTCTAGCGCGTTAGCAATTTTATAATAATAAAAAATGGTTTGGTTTTCTTTGTTTTCATTCCTCTTTTCTTTTTTTCATCGAAAGATTAACGTTCTTCATAAAACGTTTCTTTAAATGAAAAACAGATGTATATAAGATATATATTCGCAATTTAAATATTACTTTTACTTTTTTAAAATAATTTTGATTTTATTTAATCAAAATAATGTTAAAATATAAAAATACTTACCTGATCCATCGTTGTTTTGCAGATCTTTCGAATTAACGGCGATTAACGGTGAAAAACTCATTTTGCTTGAGATATAAGACATAGGACAGTGATGGAATATAATAACACTTTTAAATCCACTTTGAAAATGAAAAAGCCACTTATGATAAATTTTCTTAAAATTCGTCACGATTGTTGAAAATATTCTGTAAATCACATTACAAACCTATCGAATAATATAAAGTGACATTGTTACGTTGTATGTTTATTTGAATGAATTTGATCCAAGGGTCATTGCATTTAATTTAAGAAAAAATTAAAATTTTAAATTTAAGAAAAATACATGATGTTAAATGATAAAGATCATCTAATAATGAAATGAAATTGCGATTTTATTTTAATTTTATTTTTTTCTCTTATTTGAATTTTTGCACACATTTTCTTTTTCTTATCTATGCATATTCTTTTTCATTGCAATACGTTATATATTTAAGATCATTGATTATAAATTTTGTCGTAAAAATTGATGTCGTTAATCATGCTATACGAAATTATTCTTTTGAAAAATCGGATTCCTCTGTGAACTTTGATCTAAAGAATTTAGACAGACTTCATCTCGTATTTTTTGCTTCAATGATCCTCGTTCTTTGATTTGAACTCCACCTTGACCGTCTAACACATCGGAAAATTGTGAAAGAATATCCATTCTGGCATATAAAGAATTGTGAAAACATTCTGATTGCTGGGAAAATTGACATTTGGTTTGTTTCAGTTTCTTTCTTTAAAAAAAAAAAAGAAAAAAGAATGAAAATCATACTCGTGGCAAACATTTCATATTTCCTCGTTTTTCTTTTCTTATATACATTTTATCAGTAATATTTCAAATATTAAAGAAATAATTATTACAAACTTAAATTTATGTAGCAATAGCTAATAATGTTCTTGTTCATTGTTACTTTATTATAAACAATAAATAAATCCTTTTTATTTAGCATTGCATAAAATATATATATATATAAATGTTTTTAATTCCATAAAAATACAATTTTTTAATTTAATTTACTTCTTACTTTTTTATAAATCAAATATCTTTATAGGACACAAAGAAAATAAAAAAGATGTACAAATATGTATAAATTATTATGTTACATTATTATCTATGGAATGAGTTTTATAAAAAGCATACATGTGTCCAACAATTGGTATAAATATAATATTAGGTTATGTTAGGTTCTTCTTATGCATTCCTTGCATATTCAACAAAATACTATTGCTGAAAGTATATCTAAAAAAGATTAAAAAATATAATTGAGGAAAGAGGATATTAAAATTCTATGATGTGACATAAAGTTCCATTAATTCGCTCTATTGTTTCATTGTCCTACAATTAATTATGACTTTTATCATCTCGTTAAATTTATTACTTAATCAATAAATAACTTGATCATCTTAATCAATAATGTAATATAATATCCATGAATTAGACAAGAAAAAAAAATACTAAAGACTACTAAAAAAGAAAAAGAATTAAAATAAAATAAAGAATTTTGAACAATTTTAAAGAACAATTTATAAATAAGAGAAATGAAAAAACAATTAATTATTAATGAACAAACGGTTAAAAAAAGTATTAAGAAGAGAAGTGTTAGCAAAAGTACAAGTAAAATTAATCAAGAGTTAATTCCTCTTGTCTCCAAAGTTATGCTGTTTCGAGCAACTATCTGACCGTTAAAAATCTCGTTTCCAGGTTGTGCGCTGAAGCAAGAAACAAGTGAAAACAAAGAGGAAGGAAGAGGGGGGGAGAGATGTGGAGTTGGTTAAGAAGAACCCTCTCTTTCGTTGCGCAACCACCAACCATTTTCATAAAATTTTTATTCAACGTGTCTACGGGAAAATTGAAAATGTACGTCAACAAGTGAGACAAGAGGGTGTGATGTTGAAATGCGCATGGCCGTGGTAACGGCGCGTATTTAAGGGCTGATCCTTCGCGAATCTCGTCACTATCATCGTATCCTTGGATCTTAACACCGGTATACGTATATCAACCACTTATTCTCACGTATTCACCTCTCATCACGAAGTGATCCAGTGAGTCCAATATCTGGAACGATCGCCCACGTCACAGTTTCCATAACGTTCGTGCAATATCTCTGGATCCCCACGTTTGTGAACAGGCAACAGGTTAGCGGTATTTACTCCTGGTGTATTGTTGTATTTTCCGTTTAATTCGATCGTCGTCCTCGATGCAAAATGACGAAAATTGTTTAGGAAAATTGAATAATTTAGAAGGGGGATTCTAATAGATAATACTTTTTATTATTGATAAATAATAACAGAAAGTATAGGCGGAGGATCTCAAGGATCTCGTCATTTGTTGCATGAGAAAACTTGTCACGTCACTCTATCCAACTTTTTAATATTAAGCTTTTTAATCAATTTTTTTTTTTAAATTGAATTACAAATCGGTTTTTCTTTAATCTGTGTAATCAAGTTACAAGCCGGCTTTCTATTAATCTTCTTTTTAAGACTTTGATCTAGTTTTTAATTGGAGGTAGTTTTTATTAAATATTTTGCACTCATATTTTATGTACATTACATAAATCTGTATCATATCGTTTGATAATATTTATTATATATTCTTATATATCTTTAATTTCTGTTTTTAATAGTTGAATGAATTGTAAATTGCACAAGGAAACGCACTCGTACGTAATTTTTATGTGATCAAAAATAAGCTTATTCCAAATGCAAACTATTAATTTTGGTTGGATCTCAAGAGAAAGAAAAGAGAAAAGAAGTGGAGAAAGTTAAGAAACTTACATATTCGCGAGATGAGACAAAATTCCCAACTTTCTACATCTTTCAAACTGTATCCTATCTGCATCATTTGAAATAGATCTTGGATCACAAATATGAAATGAATTTCTTATTTTACAATTTATTTCTTATTCGAAAAAAACAAAAGTGTTTCGTGTCAATTTTTCATATGATCTTTGGACTTTTTCCCTCGCATTATATGATGGAATATATTCTATGAGAAATATAACTTAATTATGCGTGTTTTTTCAATTCGATATTTACACGCAATAAAATTATTTATGATTCTTCACATTGACGTTTTCACTGTCACATCATTTTTATTGCACATGAATTATAATTCCCTCTCTTATAAATTCCATAGTTTTACATAGAATTTATAGTCGAGATTCAAAATTCAATTTCATCAGAATCATATCCATCCATTGAACTCTCAGACAACAGATTAAAACTTCTAATTCATATGGTTTAAATTTAATTCCTTATTAAATTACATTATATTACATTATAATCTTTCATTTAAATCTTCTTCTTAATCTTGTACTACCAATGTTCAATTTATTCATAAAGATTGGTTTAAAATTGTAGGATTTAATTTAAATTTATTAAATCAATTATATGTAAATCTATTAACTATAAAATTAATGCGAAGCATATATTTAAAAAATGCATGTATGTATGTAAATATATGAAACTTTATAAATATTCGATAATTGAAATTAAGAAAGGAAAAAAATTGTTTTATTAATTTTAAAAATAGAAATCTATTTTTTTTTATAAGAGATTGTATTTAAAAAGAGAAGCGTTTAAGGAAAAAAAAAAATGCGATTCGAATAGAATTTTCATTCAAACTATTGGATTGTAGGTACCATGAGGGTTGCTTCTTGTGCATCGCTGACATTCCGGACAGCTGTTTAGTGTAACGTGAATAAGAAGATGGTGCAATCAAATATTTCTCGCCCCTCGATTTCTTCGATCGAAAACACTCTCAGAATTCTTCTTTTTATTACATTCCAAACATCCTTTCTACACAAATTCTTTTTACATTTGTTTTATCACCAAGAATTTCCTATTTTTATATACATTATATTTATTATAAATTATCTTATTATTTCTATATTCATATATATAAAAGTATATTTAATATTTTATTTCATTATTTTAATTATTTTTAATTTCTCGTCTCTTTAATTTTTTTTTTTTTTCTTATAAAAATTTCAAAATTTCAGTTGGCTCATTGTTCCAGTCATCCTCTTCGTAGCATACAATTGAACAGCCAATTGAACAGCGTGCGACGATATTTCAGATACAAACTCAATTAAGAACTGACATTCATTTCCTTTTAGAATTTCTCGATCGATCAGTCACAAGAGTAGAGAGCGATTTCTCATCAAGTGCTTGTCAAAATTTACATAGGTCTTTCTTAAACTTCGTGTGCATGTTAATTCCCAACGAGCTTTTGCTCCTCGTAATTATTTGGTTATTTACTTTATTTCAAAAGCGTTTCGAAACAAATCATTATTTTCACTGCATCTTTAATATCGAAAAGTCGAAGAAAAAATAAAAGAAAAAAAATTGTGGGAAAATGATAAATTATTGAAAATATATGCACCAATAAATTTTAATTAAAAATCTAATTGATTAGAATGAATACGAAATGATATTTAAATCGATGAGAAAATGAGTTGAAAATTTTTTTTCTAATACATTATTATAATTTTATAATGATTCAACGTTTATTTTTTTTGCATAAATCACTTATCTAATAAATTCATTTATTCATTTCTTTTATAAAATAATACAGAACTGAATCGTGTCGTGTGTATATATGCGCGTTTCATTATTTCATCGTTCTTTTTATTATCACAGAAGTAAAAAATAATAGGCAGTCGTAAAAATGCACGATGCATTCCTCGCGTTTTATCGATGTTGAAAGAGGAACCATGATGTTAAGTAGTAAATACCGGTCTAAGTCAGACGTTTCCGTGAGTCTCGCGCATTTTCCCTTCAACAGAGAGCATATAAAACTTGCATTCATTTGTACATCTTTCCATTTACTTTTATCGTATCGTACAAGACAATTCGAAATATTTATAAAGAAATAAAGAAAATATCCTGTGAATGTTTCAAACAATGTTAAAACTTAATTTTCTAATATTAGTTTTCATACATATATATAGTATATACTTTTCCTTATTAAATTAACAAAGGGAATGATTCCGGTTACCGAAAGGATATCACGTGACTTTTGTAACGCAATTACCGTCCACTGTTTTATATGAAACGAATTAAAAGCGTAGGTTTTTGAAAGTTTTATGAAATTGGGAAGAGAATGTGAACAAATTAAAATTTATTAAACGTCACGATAAAAATGGCTTCCATCATAAAATTATACGTACGTTTTTCTTGTTAAACAAACTCTTTCTGTTTGAATTTTTATATTCTTTTTTCAAAAGTGGTAAAAAAATATTGTCTCGGAATTAAGCATATTTTATGAAACAGTTTACCGGTACTTATTCTTTTGAATGTTACAATTAAAATTTAATTATTAGAATATAGGTTATTTAATTAAGGTAACGGAAATGGAAGAAAAAAATATAATTTCTTGATATTCACCATATGAAATATACAAGATCACTGGAACGATTCAAACTAATTCCATTCCGATGATTAATTATTGGTACATGTTCAAATTATTTACACGTTCCGTTTACCATCTTGTTATTACGAAATGAAAGATTCGAGGTAAAATAAAATTTATTTTATTTCTCTTTTCGCCTTTGATCCATTTATTGCCACTATAATTTATTATTTTTTTTTATTGCTGTCATTGCAGATTTATAATTAAATTTAATCAAGTGCTTGATTAATTGATCTTTCTAATAAAACAATTTTTCATATAAAAAATATTTGAATTGCCTGATTTAAGTTTGAAAGAAGATTTATAACTAAGATCAACCCAAGATTACTCGGATAATCGATTTTTTATTTAAACAATTATTCATACAAAAAATGAATTTGAATTGTTCCGTTAAACTGAAGTAGCAACTATTGCTCCCGATGGATACAATATTTAAACTGATTGAACAGTGAGTGAGTAAAAGGATTCAAATTCAATTTCACCGATCTCATTCCTAAACTTCTGTCACGCATTTTCTTTATCCTACACTGAATTATCACGAATTGAAAAATAAAGGAATATGAATACTTAGTAATCGTAGTAAGGATACTGATTACAATGCTGATTACTTTTAAAGAAAAATTATTAAAAGTTATTTTCGAACGAAAATCTTTTTTATATCCAGAATTCTAAGAATCATTGATATCTATCCACGATAAACGTCAAATGTTTCGGATGACTCATTGTTAATACTCTCAACGATTCATCCCCATTGAGGAGAATATGCTTCATCAAGTATATGCTTCGCAATTAATCAAATCGATGATAAAATCAAGTGGGTATAAGCTTTCGTTTGCTCGATTAATTTTCTTTATCTCGACGTTTCGAAATCTTTCACAAACGATCTTTTCTTATTCTTTTTTTATTTTTCGTCCAACAGGTATGAGCCGTTGATACGTATTTAAACATTCTTCGTGTATACGGCGATTTAATTCCATGGTACAGAAGCACCTTGTTTGTCCGTCTTCTTCGACGTCGATTCAACTCCCGCGGTGTCCATTTTATATTTAGTCCGAACTGGATTGAAAAACTACTAAACATTCCAGTCACGTAACACCGGTAATACGATTTGCCGACTTTGAGCTCGCTTCTTAGATCACATTCGGATCGGTGTGCCTTGTTTGCTCGATATTCCGATTCCGTTTTGTGTAACGCAATACTCTCTTTTCGTATTTCCAAACACTCGGCAAAATAGTTGGAAATCCTCTTCCAACAATTCCTCTACGAGATGCATCCGGTTTTTTCCTTTAAACTTGCCTTTTTTTTTTAAATTGTTAAAGAACTGAATGAAAAGTTTTTTTTTTTTTTTATAAATTTTTATCAGAGAGAGTGTCTTTTATTATTTATTTAAGAAGTAGAGAGAGAGAGAGAAAGAGAGAGAGCTTTTACCTAATTTTATTTTTATTTTTTAATAAATATGATATATTTTAATATTATGACGTTTAAATATTTAAAAATATTTATAAAATTCATAGTTTTCTTGAAGAAAGATTTTATATGAATTTTATAAATTTTATGATTCTATAATTTTTTAACTTACTTAGGGATAGAAGATATTGGTCCACGCTTTTTCCATCGTACGATTTGTATTAACAGTCTTGATAATTTGATTAAAAATATGTCATTGCACCATTAACGGTGTACTTGTTAGTGGAAAATTGATTTCCCTCGTGGACTGGTCGCGTATTCATAAGTAACAAACTAATTTTCTTGTCGCTGAAAATTTACTTTTTCTTGTTTTTAATTCGAACTTTTCCCATTCGAATTATGCGTGTAATATTGTCGAAGAGTTTTATGTTGATTTATATATATATACATACACACAACCGTGAGATCTTTTACAATCTCAATTTAATTAATCATTTAAGAATTTCAATTACATATTGTTAGATCACAATTTAAAGATAAAATATTTACTATTAATATAATAAAAAATATATTTTGATAAAAATTTATATTTTATTTTATTTCATTATAAATAATAATGTACATTTATGTTAAAAATACATATTCTACCTTTTTACAAGCATGATGGGTTCAACGATTGTCATCCTTTTTTCAATGACGACCATGGCAATATTCTGCAACAATGTCTTGGCAGCTTTACCAACTCAATGTAATCCTGGTTTCCTTGATGATCTTCCTCCAAGGATCCGCAAAGTCTGTGTCGCACTTTCCAGGATATACGAGCTTGGTTCAGAAATGGAGAGCTACATTGATGACAAGGAAAATCATATAACAGGTGTTTCTTTTATTTAATTATTTATATAATGTTTTAAATTAAAAAAAAGAATATATATTAAAGAAGAAGAAGTGTTTAATATAACGATCGTAATAAAAATTATATTTTATAGGCTTTCACGAGAGCATCCCGTTATTAGACAGTGGAGTAAAAAGACAAGATGTCGATCATGTATTTCTGCGCTTTGGAAGACGTCGTTAGACATCGAACAAATGATATTTCGCACATGAAAGAATCAAACAGTTCAATTCATCGTTCAAGCTATGAAAAAAATGTCTGCAGATCCATTTCGAGATTCTTATTCGATAGATTCATATTATATCAATTTGTGCTTTTTTCTTCCTATCGTTGGATAATTAAATCTATTCGTAATGATAAGCATACAAAAGTAATGGGTGTCTAATGAAATCACGACGAGTTACTTGTGTATCGTGCGACTTTTATTTAGAAATTATTTAAAAAAGTTCATCTTTTCTCTCTTATAAATAAATTCTATAGTGAAAGCAGTAACAACTTGGACTAATAAAAAATTATTTATTTTTGCTTTTAGTCAGTTTTATTTTATCGTATATTTTAAGAAAATTATTATTAGCATTTATATTTTTAAATTATATCTCTAACATTAAAGAAGTATAATTAGGAGATATTAAAAATAATTAATTCTAAATATTATTTTATAGTATATTAATCATTTATTAATATTCAACAGTCAAAGTTATAATAAAGTTACAAACTGAATATTATTTTGTATCACTGAAAAATAAAAAAACCCTAGTTTCTTTTTTAGGTAAATAAATAAAATATTTTAAAACAATATTTAATAGATAAATTAAGAAATTTAATTAGATGACAATTTTTTATTTAATCACATTATAACATAAGGAATTATTCATAATTGTGTCATAATAAAAAACAAACACATTTTACATTTATCGTGTGATTTAAATTTCGCACAATAAGTGTTAGATTGATAAAAACAAATCAGTACGATAACATATAACATAAACAATGATCAAATTTAAAGAATTAGAGATGCATGCATAACAATCCAAATGTACAAGGTATTTTTTAAGCCATACATTATTAAGGATTCTAATTTTGTACATCTTATGCAGCTTTGTGTTCTACAATCTTAAAAGATTAAAAGATTGTAAGACAAATTATTTCTCTTTATCGAGAACGCTTGTACAATTTTTTTTATTATTCTAATATTTAATCAATTTAGCTTAATCTGCTAAACCTTTAAATGTTGTGACAAATTCATTTTTACAAACCAGTATTTATTCTTGTTACCTTCCGAAAAAAATTAATATTTATCCACATTAACATCAATCACCATAACCTTTTTGCAGAATTTAAAATGCCTACTTATATTTTATTATTTTTGCATTAAAAAAAAAAAAATTAAATTCCATTAAGATGCCTAAATTATACAATTTGTCTGCAAGAATTATTTACTTCGTTGGACGAAAGAATTATTTGTAAATTTATGTACAATTCGGAAGGCACCCAATTACCAAAACTACATATTTTTAGATTTCTTTAAAAGATGTTTCTAAAATCGTGCTTAATCGAACGTGTGCGTTTTGTAATAGAATTATCGATTTTGTTAATGAAAGCCGCTTGATTAAATGTACGAAATTTCATGAACTTATCTACGTTATCGTATTCGTACACTAGAAATTCGAATATTTACAAACCCTATCCTATCACGGGATTATGAGATACGAGTCCGTCCAAGACGACTAATGAAGTTCATCGATCAAAGAGAAGTCAAATTTTCGACGTTGCTTCTCAGAGTAAGGTTGTAGCTATGGAGGTGCAGAATGTGGAGGTTGGGGTCAGCAATTTGAAACTCCACATTGCTTTTCATCCGCGAAATACGATACAGATACTACATCTCCACCAACGTTTATCAAACATTGACCCTAAGATATAATTTCTTTTAATTTCATATGATCAAACGAATTTGATAAAACATAAAAAAATTGTTATACGTACTTGGTTTTTATGTGGACTGTGAAAAAGTACACATTTGGTCATAAAAAACGCTACCATTGCATTACCTCCCAAAGCTGTAATATGCGCGCGAACGATTGCTAAAACTTCCATTACGAAACTATGGGTAAATCCACTTAGACCTCCATTCTATATCAGAAAGAAAATTATTAATTTTTATTAATTTATTAATTTCTATATATATTCATGTACAAGAATATTAACTTCTCTAATAGATGTGCTTTCACGAATAAAGAAGAAATTTAAATTTCCTAAGTATCTTTCTATACGACCACCTGGTAGGTAAGACAAAGGTGTTATATCTACACCATATCTTCCTTTTAAAGGCACCTATATATAACAAATCATTTTAATTATATCTTCTAAAATAATTCTTCTATTATTTTATTAACATCTTCTATTAACATATTTACATGTTTGTGTCTACGCGTTGTATGAATTTTGGATCGTAATGGAGAACGAGTCCGAGATTTCAGTGATGGCATACTATGTAAGGTAGTTAAATTTAGATTACTGCTAGATGCGTTATCTGATGAAACTTCTGTATGATCCACATCAAGATTAAATATCATATCACTATCATCTAAATATATAATAATTTTATCATTATATATGATAATCATTGCTATACTTAAAAATATTTAACTAAAACTAAGATTTCTACCTAATTTTTTAACTTGATCTTTACTTGCAGAATGGCTTATCATTTTTTTTTTAGATTTATTCATTTTTATTGGATCTCCTAATCCAAGAGCCATACCAATCACTGTAAATTGTATTTCATCTGGTTCAGGAAGTGCTAACTTAAATTGCATATCACATAGGGCACAAGGAATCATTCTTCTTAATTTAAAATATACAGACTAAAACCAAAAATCAATCAATTAATTTTTAACTGAAAAAATGATTCTAGTAAATAAATAACAACAGAAAGATACCTGCAGTAACCTGGCGAAAAATTTAGAAGGCATTGATGCAAATTGTCCAGCAGGAATTTTTGTTCTTGAAATTTGAGTAAACATTTGTAAATTCCTCACGATTTCTAAATCATCTAAGCCAGGAATTGTTTGAGTATTTACTACATGGAAATCCTCTGGGGGTCTGTCATCCATCAATAACGATATTCTATCCATATCTTCAATATCATCAACTTCTAATACACAAGTATCTCTTGGACCCACACTAAAATCTAAATCCGGTAAATCATCGTCTGATTCATCAGTATCAGAAGTTGTAACTCGTCCATTTTCAATATCCTGAAAAATTAATTTATTTATATTATTTAATTTCAAAAATAATTAATAATACTTACTCCAACAGGTTTAAGTCGATAAAACTCTCTGTTCTGTTTGACTGTTTCAACTAAAGTTTTCTGAATTTCAGCTAATTGCTCTTCTTTATGCCAAGAATTTCCAGACGCAATTTGTGGGATAGAGGGCGTAGGTAATGCAGTTAAAAAAACAGCTGTACCCACGGCCATACCAATAATTAATCGTTCTCCAACAGAAACTTGTAGCTTTAAGCCAAATATCGCATTCATTCCTTTAACCTTTAACTTATTTAAGAGTAAACTATGTAATTCATATTCTAAAAATGGCAAGCAATCTGATATCTCCTTCGCATTTAATTCTCCTCTAAGATCCTTTTTAGCTTTACACGCAGTAGCTTGAATGATACATCCTCGACCGATTGTTAGAAGATTTTCTGGTAACTCTATAGTAGTAAACATTACATCTGGTACTCTGGCACGTTTACATATGGCGCATTTTGAAACATTTACGCGAAATGGAACGCTTGCTTCATTGTATGGCAAATGACATAGACTACATTTGCTTTGAAATTGAATCTCATGATCTTTACTTTCTGAAATATGCCTTGTTTTGCTGATTTGTATCAAATTTGGTACAGATGTATCTGTATCACTTTTTTCTACTTTTACAGGTACAGATTTCTGTTGAGCTTTTTCACGTTCTGCTTCCGTGGGATTAACACCGGATCCTGATTGTCCTTTACTGATAAAAACATTGTCTGATTCCTGGTTTGAACTATGAAGATTGATTATTGCTGCAGTGCCGTATGCATTTAATACACAAACATCATCGCTACAAAGAGATAATCCTCTTACTTCAAGTAATATCATAAGATAATATCATTATAAAATAAATTTAAATTTTAAATTTTAATTTTTACCAAATACTAGTTTCCTCTCTATAACCGATAACTACATTACATGCTAATGCTCTGGCATGCGATCGAACTTCCATTCTGACCTCTTTCCACCAAGCATCGCGACTTTCAGGTTCTTCTAAATTACTGATTCTTTCAAGAAGTTTCACTGATCTTGAACTTACAAGACCACCTGTCTCAAAATACACACTTTATGATTCAATTTATTTGTATAAAAAAATAAAATTGTAAAGAAACATAAAGTAAAATATTTAATTGAAATGCTTACCGATATGCAAAATAAATCCTGATGGATATTGTTGCATTGTAATAAATGGATATTCTAACATTTCAAATGCATCTTGATTCATAGTTCGTATTACAGCGGTCGATGTTTTTAATAATCCAGTTACTGTTCTATCATTTGCTCCAAATGAATTGCCTATAATATTCTAATTGTTATAAAAAAAGAAACTAATCTAAGAACAAAATGTTCACTTTTTAAAAAAAAAAAAAGTCTCATAAAGTGAGTATAATCAGTAAATAGTAGGCAAAGAAAGAAATGAATAAAAAAATCTTTCAATATAATCAAATATAAATTTAAAAAAAAATTATTTTATTATAATTAGAATTATATGAAATTATATGTTATTTTGTTATATATTGTTTCAAAAATTTCTTTCTTCTAGTTCTAACTCATTTTATGAGTCATCTTGTAATTTGAAGTTTAATCTATAATAAATTATCTATAAATCAATGGATTTTACAATTAAAATAAAATCAATCATAGTATTATCAGTAATAATTATATAAATTATAATATTAAATTATTCAAATATTTTATAATTCAAATATTTTAACAGAGAAAAATGCATTTATTTTAATAATAGTATGTAATCAATGTATAATTAAGAAAGCTTACCTTTTGGAGTAACACTCAAATCAGAATCACTGGATCTTCGATGCAATGAGGCAGTGGGTTGTGCCTTAGTTGTTGGTAACTGACATACTTTTGAGACCATAGGAGGAACAGCCGGAAGTGGATAAGATGGACTTAGAGATGCTTCATCTTGTTGCCTATGATTGGAGGAAGGAGGGGACACATACGAGTTGCAAGTTATATTAGCAGTGTTAATAATATTAGTTAATTCTTGATCTAATATTTCTCTTATATTACAAATGCTATGATTCTCATGTACCACATGATCTACAGATGTAGATAACATTGAATAGTTAGTATCTTTTGGCTTTAGTTGCTTCAGTTCTATAATATTATTATTATTATTTTTAAATGAATTATTGCTATGAGTATCTAAAATTAATTCTCTTGTAGAAACGTCGCATAGATCGAC